TTTGAGATTGGAAGTGCGTTTTTTTTTGAGAAGCATGATGTGGCAAATTTGCAGACATGCCTTGTTTTTTCTGCTTTGCGAGTGGCATGATCACATGAGCAGTGAGCAGCTTGACACAGATTCAGACAGACCTGCGTTGGGCCCTAAGTCCCTGCCATTACCCCCCTAAACCCTAAGGCTTAAGTGAACTGTGAACACAATGAACCACCTTAACCTTATCTGTGATCTTCAACTTTCAACCCTCCTAGACAGAATTCCTCAGGCACCTCAATTTTGGAAGCAATCCAGCGCCGTAGGAAGTAGGATAGTTACCAAAAGCAGCACGTTGCAGAGCAGATGCGTCTGCGATGGGATGGTTACTTTTCTGTGCTGGGTATGTTCACATGGCGAGAGCCAACGTTTTGGGTCAACGGCCACTGGCAGGTATAAGACTGACTTCAATGGCCTATCTCTGGCTAGATTGGGGCGGGAGCACAGACCTGATCTGAAAGCAGACCAAGTCTTTGGCCTTGTGCAGGCGTCGACGGACTTTACTTATCATAGCCTGGCAATCTTGGGGAGCCCCGGCAAGCAGAGCAGTATGGATTTTGGCAATCAGTTTTCGGTCCTGCTTTACATGGTCGCCTGTATTACTTTGCAGTAGAAAATCAAAGCGCAATGTTGGAAAGACCAGAAATTCCCATTGGAAATTTCCATCGCTTGAAGACTTTCTTCGTGCCCCTTGCAGATCAAGCTAGTCAAGACTTGATAGCAACGCTGAGCGAGCAAGGCTCTCAGGAGCCGTGGGCTTTGGATGCTGATTGTACTTTATGTGTGCGGCTTCCGCTTGCCTTCGCAGAGAGTATTTTCAGTAATGGTTGGTCGCACTTTGCTTTGCCCGAACCTGCTTTGGACCAACTTTTTCACGGTGCCCAGAAGCAAAGGTCTAGGCTTATGGGTTGGTCGCATTGCCCATTCTCTGCAGCAGATTTCCTGCAACCCCCCTTTGAAGCAGCAGGGGCAGAGGAACCCTTCACGCACGCAACAGCTGAGTTTGTTGCAAACACCGTGCGAGAGTGCTATGCCACGTTGAGTTCAGGGAACATACAAGATAGAGATCTACTTGAATGCTGTCATCATGCAGCGCAATTCTTGCAAGCCTTTCAAGATGAGCTGGATCCGGCCAACGCGCAAGCAAACAGCTTGGCCATCCGAGGGCGCGTGGGCGGGTCTAGCCGGGTTCCATATCAAGCTTCGTACTTAGTGAAATGTATTGTGCTTTGTTTCCACCTTCGAGATGCGGCTTCCCTTCGCAAGGTCCTTGAGCGCGCAGTGGATATCATAGTCCCAAAGGGTTTTGCCGAAGCAGTCCTGCAACCCCTAAAAAGTGGCGAACTTAAGGTCCCTAGTGCATCTAAGATCTCTAGGGCCCGCCTAACAGTCGATGTCGCATTCATGTTGTCCCAGCGAGAAGCAAACAAAGCAGCCGTGCGCAACTCTGTGC